ATATACAATAAATATATATAAATAAGTCCGATCCTCCCCCGTTTCTGTCCGTTCCTGTAAATCGTCGCCCGTTTCTGTCCGTTCCTGTAAATCGTCGCCCGTTCCTGCCCGATCCATATCAATACAATACTCTTAATTCCTTGCAATTCTTTTATCAAATATATCTTATACCCGATAAAAAAAATATATGATACTATAAATGTAGGTATCATAAGTAACATCGTCATAAATGTATATATATAATTTAGTCCGATTCTGCCCCGATCATGTAATTGCAATCCTTTTATCAAATATATCTTATACCCGATAATGATACTTAAATGTATCTTATATATATATTCATTAATGTATATGATAATTAATAGATTGCAGCCCGTTCCTGCCCGTTTCTGTCCGTTTCTGCCCGTTCCTGCCCGTTTCTGCCCGTTTCTGCCCGTTCCTGCCCGTTCCTGTAAATCGTCGAACCCAAAATAAACAGTGTTATATATGACGCATCTAATACCTCCAACACTGTCTAAATTTCACTGATATATACACTTAAGATAAGATAAGTCTTGATAGAAGTAGTTAAATAAATTGAAATAAAGACCATTGTCTTTGTTAATTTTTATCAAAAACTTTCAACTCACATTTTTCACACCATGTTGATGACCCCGGCAATATTATCTTATAAGTTTGACAGGAATGGCCTTTTAGGAGGCAAAAGTTGTTCTTCGAGGACAATGCCAACTATTATATCATTTAATGCAATACCTCACAAAGAGGTGTGAACATTTGATAGCTCTTTAAATAAGCAAGTTACATTTATTTGAGATATATTTGGTTCATTTATCTTATAGTATGCGATTGTATGTAGCAACTACAGTGCAGTATCACTAAGTCACGATTAAAGACCACCCCCCCCCTCTCCTCCCTCTCTCTGGTTTAAGCTTGTCCTTTATTACACATATATATTCTTACGATGTTGTTTAGCTTTGCAGTGGTGTCATCCGCTTGTTATAATAACGTCGATAATATAACTTTGTTATATAAACGTGTTCGTCTTTAGAACCATAACTTACAGTCATGTCATTATGTATAAAACTTGCTTAGTTTAAACCATATTTTATTTCATTTTATTTCATGTCATACATAATATACATAAGTACAGGATTGAGAAAAAAATATTTAAATACTTATATGAATCTGTCTCCGAACTGTAGCGCCCTTCATGCTGGATTTGCCTTTGTCCAGTTGTCATTCACATTGCCTATGAATGTCAACTAAAAGCAGTTCAATACTTATATTTGCCATTTTGGAATCAGTTCATCTCATAAATAAACTCGATAACACTTATTACTTTAGTATCATCCAGCATTTAGTTCAAATAATTTATGTCTCGTGTAAACTTATCATAGTCAGAACGTTAACAGTCATCGCCCAGCTTCAGGGAGGGTCAGTGGTATCTAATGTAACAATTATGACATCAAAATAATGATGACGTCAACAATCGGTCCAAGGCGTTCATAGCCCAACTGAATTTGGTAGGGTTATATCCTACACAACATTTTGCAGGTTGAAACCTAAACATGTACTTCCTCAGAAGTTGTTCCAGTGTCTATGTGAATACTGCGAAAATGTAAAATTAAAGTTGAAATGTTTGTACAACATTGTTGATCGGGAGCAGGTGACTGTTAAGGATTATATTAAGGATGAATTCTCCGCAGTCCGAAATACTCTGTGTGTGACATCTGACAAATTTGCTAATTTGACATGCATAGATAGAAATTGTGAAGAGTGTGGGACGTGGCTTTTGAAAGAAAAGGTTCAGCCAATATTACAACATCAAGGAGAGGTTAAATGGTCTAGGTGGGAGAACGTCAAAACAACTAACCCAAAGACCCATAAACTGGTAACAAAACAACAAGTAGTAACAAAAACCGGCCCAGCGATGTCATTGTGGGAAGAGCTCGAGCAGGAACTTGGCCCTATGGCATGCCATTTGTTTGAAGCAAAATGGCAACAAGAGCAATTTTCAATACTCCATAAAACAGAAACCTTTCACGAAAAAAACCTATCTTTAACAATGGACTTTGCTGAAAATTTCACTTGTTTCTCCCAAAATGAGATACAAGCTGCTCATTGGGCCCAGGACTCGGTGACCCTTCATCCTATAATAGCAAGATACAGGTGTCCCAGGAGGGAATGTCATGACTTATTGAAGAGTGCATTGACGTAGTGTCAGATGAC